AACTCCAATTCCTTTTCTGTAACAATCTCCAAGTTTGTCTATTCCGCTAGAATTACCCATATCAGCAGATTTTTGATGATAAATGAATGCCTTATGTTCATCCTTTTCAACTCCAATTCCTTTTCTGTAACAATCTCCAAGTTTGTCTATTCCGCTAGAATTACCCATATCAGCAGATTTTTGATGATAAATGAATGCCTTATGTTCATCCTTTTCAACTCCAATTCCTTTTCTGTAACAATCTCCAAGTTTGTCTATTCCGCTAGAATTACCCATATCAGCAGATTTTTGATAATAAATGAATGCCTTATGTTCATCTTTTTCAACTCCAATTCCATTTTGATAACAATTACCGAGAAAATAAATTCCATAAGAATCATCCATATCTGCCGATTTTTGATAGTAGATAAATGCTTTATGACCACGTTTTTCAACTCCAATTCCGTTTTGATAACAACATCCAAGATTACATATTCCAATAGAATTTTCCATCTCTGCTGAATTTTGATACCGAATAAATGCTTCACGGTTATCATTTCTTACCCATTTTCCATAGCGATAACAATATGCAAGAATATTTTGAATTATAGGATTGGTTTGAACAATAGGTTCTGTTTGGTTATTTAAACATAAGTTGATTATTTCTTCTGGGATTTGCTGCTTATTTATAAAATATTGATTTATTGAATAAAGGATTGAGCTTATAGGATTTCCTTTCATGACTTCTTCATTATACACGTTACATAATTCATCAATAACTTTATTTAAAAAAACTTGTGAATTATGCATTGATAGATCTATTTGTTTTGAAGTATTATCATTATTAATCGCCAATTCTGTATAAAGATTATTGTAAATATCTGACAAGTTTTTTTCATTTGACATGATATGATATTAAAATTATAATGTTATTGAGAGCGTTGGCCTGTATATATAGAAAATTGTGTAATGCCGTGTAACTTTCATGAGGATATAATTATAACATGTGTTACGAATCAACAATGATAGTTCTAAATTAATCAAATAATTAGATCATGAAGAAAAGCATCGCATTACACATTAACTGTTGGGTTATGCCGGTAGGTTATTTTAGGCTGGATATTATTTTTTATTGAAGCAATCAATTGGTGATTGGTACATGTGATTAAGAGTGATTGACATTATGGCGCATTTGCGAAATAACCCAAAATTTGAAAATTTTGACCACTAATATTTAAATATAGATTTTACTGAGATAATCAACTTCCCTAAGTTATGGTGCGTCATTTTAATAAATTCCTATGTCTAATGATATGCGTCGAGGGTAGAAAGGTGGGTTAGCTTGTGGGGAAAATGGGTTAGACTACAGAACAGGGGTCTGAAAAACTTTTTCGAGGTTTAACGTTGATTGATTAATATATAATTTGGTAACCAAATCTAAATTTGGGGACCAAATGATTAGATTTAATGACTAAATGTTTGCTTAATTTCGCTAACGCGCCGTAATGCTGAGATTGGTCAGAACGGCAATGACATCCCGAGAGAATGCAATAAACATTGCGCTGGGTGTCGCCTTAGAATTGAATAGTCAGTGGTTTACCGCTCGCTAAGGCAAGACAGCTGTGAGTATAGTAGTGGTTGAGAAATTGAAAACATCTTCAATTAAAGAGATGGTAGAACACATGGTCGTCAGTTTTGGGTGGGTGGGTCGAAACTTTCGATCTTTCGGGTTTAATACTACTGAACATGTGCTCTAATTTTCTGATTTAAATACGTCTCACATCTTCCTTGAGGCTTTGGTTACCCGTTCCCTTGCGTACTGTTGACATATGTTGTTATGTGTTCGCATATGATTTTCAACTTTCACTCATTTACCTTATTAGGTTCGCGTTGCGCGAACCTCATTACGTGGAAAGTAGTTGCATAGAGTGTATGGCTGCTCCACTTTTCGATCCCATGATCTACCATTACTTTGCACTAATAACAAATCAACTCAGTAAATTTTATTTATTAAGTCACATTATAGGTATACATGGGTGTCTAAATTATTTTTCTCATGGCGTAATTTAATTAGTCAAAATTATTTTTGACAGTCTAAATCATAAATAATTTAGTATGCCGAAAATATTTTAGGTTGTCGAAAATATTTAGGTTGCCGAAAAATATTTTAGATTGTCAAAAGTATTTTGGTCTAGCGAAATTATTTTAGGATGGCGAAATGTTTTAGATAGTGAAAGTGGTTTAGAATACCGAAAATATTTTAAATTGTCAAAATAATTTAAAATGTTAAAAATATTTAAAATATAATTTTTAATATAGTTGAAAATCAGTATATATTATCTGTTAGTATATGCGTATTGTTTATTACCAATAATGCCTATATATAATCATATATAAATGTTTAAAAGCTGGAAGCAAAGAATTTGTGGATGCATTAATAATATCTTCAATATTATAATCGTATTCATCTTCATGATCTAAGTTTATATTACCCGTATCAGTTTTTTCATTTTCATTTCTTTCAGAAAAAACATTAAAATCTAACATGCTTTTGATATCTAAATTTTCACTATCGAATTGCAAAAGATTAGCCAATTCCTTAGTATCTGAAGCATAATCAGCATCAAGTTCTTCATGTTCCTTTTCAAAGTTATTACTAAACATATAATCATCAAACTCAACTGTATTTGCATAATTTTCCATAAATTGCTTAAATTCTTTTTTTTTTTTTTGATGTTAAGGTGAGGTTTTGCCTTTATCTTTATTATTAATTTGTTTTGGGCAACTACAAGAGTTGACACAGGCCAATTTACAAATTTTTTACAAGAATGAGACTCAAACTATAAACAAAATTATTATCTAATTTTATCTAATTTATCTGCAACCTAAACCTACTAGAGTGGTCAAAACTCATCTAGATTTGATATTGTAAGATATTATTGGTAAAGGTACTATAGTTTATCCATTTAGGTATCCATTTAAATAGTTTTTTATTTGCTTTTCCTTACAATAGACAAATATAAGAGTTGTAGAAGTCACCTATGTGCTGTTGGTCTGGAAGTTCACAAGTACAGCTGTAGGTATATAATAGTCAGGTTTGTGATAGTAATCTGGTTGGAGTGTTAAAGTTAGTTGGTCAGTTACATAGTGGTTGGTTGGGGATATTATTTTGCTATTTCTATTCTAATAGTTTGATACAGTATGGTTTCCATATTTTGTTATATATGTTTTGAGATAGTTGGATTAAGAATTTTATTGTAGTATTGGTTGCTAACTGGTTGCTAGTAGTATATTCTTGTATAGTATTGATTAATGTAGTTGGAATGAAGCCTTGTATAGTTGCGTATATATTTGTTCAATTTCTACTAAGGTTGGTTAGAAAGATACATGGGTGATTAATAAGTTGTCATATAGTTCTTATAATTGTATAGTTGTTATATCTAGTCATAAATTGTTAAAGAATTGTTGTATTGTGTTAATAATAATAGAGTTTAGTATATGTGAGTTTGGACATGTTAGCCAGTGTAAATGACTGTTATATGTATTACATGAAATGCAAAATCTATTTAGTTATATAGTTGGATAAAAAAAATGAAGATGAGATAGTGTAGGTAGTATTCCTAATATGAGTTTGACTTTAAAGGTTTTTTCATGACATAGACTGAAGCTAGTATAAGATGTAGATCTTTTGTGATTGTTATTAAGAAAGAGCCAAGTGGCTTCCCAGTTAATTAGTGAGGATAAAGGTAAAATGTTTTTTATTCGGTTTTGAGAGGACCACATTGCTATATTATAGGCATTGCTTATGTTTTTAATTGTTCTATGTGTGGGTTGCTTTATAGGATATTTATCATAGTAAAGGTAATATGATGGATTGTATATATTGTTGTGAAGAATAGTAAATATATGTGATTGATTTGGGTTTTTGGCTAGTTTGTCAACTATGTTGTTAAATGTGTTGTTGCTATATGCAGTTATTTTTTGGAGATGTACTTGAATTTGGTATGCAGTAATAAAGTTGAGTAGTGAATGTCATATTAGCCAATAGTTATAAGACTATTGTCTGTTAGGTGTAGGCAGTAATTATATAAGTTTGTTGTATTTTGAAATAATAGATTGTGAGTCTGTATATATTGTTATAGTACTTATTTTTAGGCAAGTTGTAATTGCAGAAAGAATTACTATAAGCTCTGCCTTATATGATAAGGGCCAAAGTTTAATTTCTGCAGAATATTGATGCAAAATAGTTTCATCTTAGATTTGAATCCATCCAATACTTATTTTGCATCTATTATTTATAATGTTATTTACAGAACTGGCTGCATAAAATGTAAATTGTAAATGCAGTGAGTTGTTTTGTGCAATTAGTTGTAGAGTTTGTGCAGCCTGATTTTGTGTGAAAATGTCAAGTACAGCCTTGTTGTATATTGTAATATTAGGTTGTAAAGGAGTTGTTATTAGGTTTTGGAGTGCAATAGAGTATAGTAGATCTAGTAGATTTGCATAGAGGTCTAGGGTATTAGAAGAGTTGGAGTTACTTTTTCTTCCAAGGAACTTAGTTGTAAGGTTAGTAGAGATATTAAATGTGCATTTATTTTGTATACGATTAGAGTTAAGGTGACATCCTGTGCATTGTTTGCAGGTGTAATTGACTAAAGAGTATAGTTCAGTGTGTGAATTGCTTAAATTCTAATTCAAAAACATTATAATTATATAGTTAAGTTTATTTTGAGCATTAGTTATGTAGTATGTATACAAGTTTGCAATATTGGATACTTTTTTAACAGTTATTCTATAAAAGTATAAATTTAATAAATTAAATTTATATTAGGAAAGCATATTTAAAAATAAACTAAAATTGAATGTTATTATCAGGCACTGCTTATAGTATTTCAAAAAAATACTTGTAAATGTTGTGTAAAAAAAAAACTAGATACAATTTTAAAATTAAAGTTTTAAGTTTATTTAAATAAATAATATCTGATCTTAATTATAAAATATTTTTTATAGATACCATAAGCAGTGATCATTAATATAAATTACTTGCTTCATCTTTTTTGTGTAATCTAACTTAAAATTGAAAATATATGCTCACAGTTTGCATTATGCAGAGTAATTGCTAATAAATGTAAAGTAAGTTTTTGTAAAAAATAATCAGATAATTTACATATGTTTCATCAAGTTTGTGGTAATTTAATGTCTTCGATAAAAATAAAATTATATAGTTGATTGAATGCATTATACATTTTAATTTGTGCAATGAGAATATTTGTATTTGCTAATCAATCTTCAATTTTTTTTTAGATTTCAAAAGCTGTATATAAAACTTGGTAGAATACCAAACTTTTCATGCTTTTTTTCAATATTTTGAATGGAGAAAATATGTCAAAAGATAAAATTTTATATTAAACTTTTTATAGCACTTATTATAAATTGATTACATTATTTATAAAATTTAACATATTCTAGTAAATTATTTTTTTAAGTGAATTAATTGCTATTATTATTTGAAAAAGAAATAAAAAAATATCTGCAATTGATATAGTCTTAGATTTAATGATTTTGACTCTATTTTTAGCAGGTGATAATACTTTGACTAAATTATTAGTATTTGTCCAAAACTGTCAATCTTGTATAAAATTCTATAATTTAGCAATCATAGCAGAAATATTATTATCTAAAATCTAAAATAACATTCTATTAATATAACAATATATATTAGACTAATATATATTTTTTTTCTACTTAAAGTGGCAATCTTGCCTATATATCTTTATTAGATAACATATGATTACATCATTATGTACAAAGTCTTTCAATAAGGCTACAATTAACTACATATACAACTTTAGTTATTGTCTATTTAAAGGTTTCACTTACAGATTACTTGCTAATTGTCATACCTAGAACTCACTTATAAGTTCTCTATTTAAAGTTTCTGATTTTTAATATTATTGCATATATGTGCAACCTAATATTGCTATTGTAATAATATATCAAGGCTAGGATTACTTGATTACTATTTATATCAAAGTAGCACTCTAGTAAATGTTACCAAGTATCTATAGCTCTTGATTCACTCTCGATACAAGCTTACTAAGCTGGTACCAAAATTACTACTTAGATCCAATTTAGTGTATCCTGTATTTACTAAACTGATTTTAATACCAGAGGTGTTCAAATTCTAGTAACTTTTCCCTTTTCTGTAGTTTTCTTTTTATGTTTACTGTATCATCTGCTAGTGCATCTTCTTTCTATTTCTCATATATTCATCACTTCTTTTGCATTGAGCATTAACTCTTTATATTAAAAATCTTCTTTCTAGAAACTTTTTTATACACTGATCTTCTATTCACATGAACTTAGCTACAGGGCTTGGTATATATTCATATGCTTCTGTAGATTACAAAGTTTTTATCTCTAGCTAAAATTAAACAGTTGGCCTTGTTTGTAAAAAAAGAAGTATCTAAATCACTAGGCTACAGGACTCTATCCTAAACTAATATATATTAATATGTATTAATTAATAATTACATATTTATTTAATGCAAATTTTTAAATTAAGTACAAATTATACATAATTATATACAGATAACTATTGTGAACAAACAGAATTTTTTAGTTCTTCTTTATTTATTATATAATTAATTATTTAATAATGCAAAAGCGCCTCAAACTGGTGATATGTATAAAAATATGGTACAAAAGATTGACAATGCTTTAATACTTTTTTTCTAAATGAAGTTTTGCAAATTATATTACTACAAACTAATTGAATATAATGTAAAATGCATCAAACAGATAATATTTCTAGATATTTATCTGAAATATATTGTTTCACAAGTGATATTACTAAAACACTATTAGATATTATTATACCAAACTTATTAATACCAAGATCAAATAATACCTTTTTAATTTTATCTGCTGTAAAAATTGCAATATGAGATTTATAAGAAAAATCTTTAATAGAATACATGTATTGCTTTTTGTTAGATGTTATAATTATAAAAACAAAATAAGAATATCTATAATTTTTGTTTAACCATCTAAAGCTTATAATATATAAAATTTTTTTGTTTTGGTATTAAGGTGAGACCTTGCTCTTATCTTTATTGGTAGTTTTTAAAGTTAGTAACTTCATGGAGTTACTATGTACAAAAATAATTCTATATAAATGCTATGGCCGAGGCCAACACTTGCAGTTAGGGCTAACCATTAAACTGCTAACTATATATAACTAGCTTAAGTAAAAAAAAGAAGAAACTACATTCAAGAGTAAAGCTCAGACATATTTATCTGTAACCTAAACCTACTAGAGTAGTCAAGACTCACCTAGATTTGGATAGTTAAAATATGGTTAAATGAGATATTGTATTTGATTCAGAGAATAGTCCATATATTGATTTTTCTAATAGCATGACCTAGGGGTGAGCATGTATTAGAGTTTGAGTATACTTGGTCAGATAGTCTATATATACATGAGTATGTATATGTTTGGTGATTGTATTTAGTTTGTCTGTTATGGTTAGTTTGAGTTAGGTATTTGGAAAAGGGAGGTTTAAAGCCTTGTTGTTTTTTTCAGTTTGCAAAATTTATGCAATATGGTTTCCAAAGTAGTTCATAGCATAGCTCGTTGATTTCAAGTAGTATTTTAATAGTTGTTTGTGATGCTAGTTTGTAAGGGATGTTAAAGTTTTGAA